CAGCGCACACACACACACACACACACACACACACACACACACACACAAACACACACACACACAGACGCACACACGGACACACAGACAACCTCTCGTCAATATGCGTATTTCGCGTTGCATTGCTGCAAAAAACGCATAAAAACGGGGAGCGCCAATATATACGTGTCGCTCTGAACTAATCTAAGCAAAAAATCAATTTTCCAATTAAATTTTTTTTTCAGCACCCGATGTTTCTTCAATGCGAAAAAATCTCTACCATTGTTTTTCTGACAGCTTCCGCCTGCTCATCGTCCGAGATATCCATATCCATTTCTCCAGCGGTTACAGGTCCTCCAGCAGATCCACCAACAAATGCGATATTTGAATTCGCGAATGTAACAGCTGTGGGAGTGCTGGAAAGCAGTGGCGCCACCGAGGAGCCCGCTACATACGGGGTGATGAAGTAAGGATTACTTGTCACTGAGGGCGGAGGCTGGAAAAACGACACCGGGCTAATCGACTGCGAAAGTTCTGGGATGGAAGGTAGCAGCGGTAGTGGTGGTGGTGCTGGTGGTGGTGGCGGTGGTGGCAGTGGCGGTGAAGGAGAAATCGTCAATGTTGTAGCAGGCTGTGCTGTCACTGCTGGATGAGCTAGCGGCTCAGAAGTTGCGGGAAACTTTGGCGGATTTGCTACAACATCACATGGCCGTTCACCTTGGTTTTGACTGTCTATTGGTTCCTGAAAAGCTGTCATTCAGAACGGATAATGAAAACCATATAATTCACTGTGGACAGTAAAACCCTTAAATTTGGTTCCTTAATATGAATATGTAACCGCAATTTTCTATCTGCTTCAACTAGTAATATATCATCTGATGGTAAACGTGATGGTGATTCTGAAGGATGTTTCGCTTTCTCAAGACTGAGATGTCAGAATATTTCGTCTCGAAAAAAAAAAGTGTCTTATTTAAATATGCAATTCATGCATTGCGGTTCTGCTCTTTATCAATTTATCTTAAGTAGTCACGAGGAAACAGACTTAAAAGCTACCAGCTTACTTTGAAGCTCTTCCCGGGGCTGCATGGAGCACGTCCCTCTCCCCCCGTATTTTCGCTGCCCCAGTAAGTGAACTCACGCTAGCACGCACCAAACTTGCCAGCGCGATTCTGCATTTTTTACACTAAACTTGCAGCAGTTAAATCGTTAACCCTTGCATACAGGAGCAAGGGATGGTAGTTTTGCATCATAGAGCCGCGTGAATCTCTAACGTGCATGACTAACAATTTCTTATACGAAGCTCAATCATTTTTCTGCTGAGTGGACATTCACCAAAAAATGCAAATTTGAAAATATACAAGGTGTGAGACCAATATGCAACCCGCGCAAACTCGCTCGCTTTTGAGTTTCCGACAAAACTGAATGTTTGTCACGTTTACGTGAAGGTCGGCGTCAAAGTAGTACTTAGATAATACGCAAGTACAGGGTATCCTTGCAAAATTACGAACTCATGGGTTGTCTGGTAAGCGAAAGAGCCACTTCGCTAAAAATATCTTTGGAGCGCGCTAAGTTCTAACGCAAATGCAAATCGAAACTCGTTTTAGGTATGCGAATTTTCAGATGGACGGTATATATACTGAAAAATTTTAAGGCAATATTTTCCGGCCGCTTTTCGAGCTGGTTCTCGAAATCGTTTTCCTGCCAAAAAATTCGCATAGTTTTTTTCGGCGTCCGTACGTAAGATCCAGAAGTGCGTGAGTTCAGGTTAAAATAATTGGCCAACACACGGGCTGCCCGTGCGAAGATGTGTTTTTTGCAGAGTTCCCCGCAGA